GCTTTTATGCATCAACTGCTCATGTAAATCAACTAAAATCTTGGAAAAATGCAGATGCAAATGATGATGATGACAATGACGACGCTGACGAACTTAAAAGGCCCAAGCGAACAGTGCATAAACCATTGAGCTATAGAGACTTTGTGTAGGACTTATAGAATTAAAAAAAAATTATATCTCATTTTACTTTTTTTTCCTACCTATTATATTTTTTGTTGTTTATTTGTCGTTTTAATGTATGATAAGATTTGGTTCAATTGAGGACTATTGAAAAGTCAGGATGGTACACGATTAAGCATGGTAAGCACGATTGTAAATTATTTATTGTTATTAGATATAATATCTATTGAGAAAATGGCAACAGCTAATTTCTGGATGTCGTTCTATTTATAATTTTAAATATACATTGAGATGATGTACGCGGGATATGTATATTGGTACGATGCAGTAAGAACGTCTGTTATGTTATGTACGTTTACGAATACGTTACGTGTAGGTTATTAAATAACGAGTACGATTTATCTTTAAATAAATGTTTGTCTTTTACAATCGTTTTATGAGTGTTTAATTTAACTGCTAAAGGAAGCTAACAGTACGAAGTAGTACTTCAAATAGCGTACAAGAATTATGCACCTCAATTTAATTCTCATTGTTTTTAATTTTTCGCAGGTTTTCCGCCATGCTCTGTCAACATGCCACAAACAATATAGACAGTTACCTGGCTCTTCCATTTCTCGTATCTATGCATTATAAAATGATTCAGCCATATCGCACATAAAAACTTTGCGTTTCAACACCCCTGATTTAGCTTTTATACATGAAAGAAAAAGAGATAAAATGCTTGATCGGTTCTATCAAGAATGCACATGGAAAGCCTTGCTGAACATCTTCAATAACAAGCAGCGTCATTAATTCAAAATCGTAACCATTCATCCCATGAGTGCCATTCATACAAAATGCCATATTCAATCAGAGCCATATTTTTCTAAAATCTCCTTCTGTGCAGTATTCATTATAACAAGCACAAAATCTTTCATTTTTAAGCAATTTTTCTGGCCATAAGATCCTTTTCACTATTTGATAATGATCGATAGTGAATATCATTTTTATGTCCAATATGAGTTTTCATGAAAGTTACTATAAATTTACCATCATGTGCTTTAAGGGGGCTTGTACACCTTAAACCCCTTATGATCTTCGAATACGTGGCTGTTACAAGAATTGGGATAACTTATTTATTTTAAAAGCAATTACTTTCAACTTTTTATGGCTGACTACATAATATAGCTGCTTTCTGAAATCGTAATCAGAAAGTTTCTGTTGCCACAAATATTTTTATAATTTAATCCGCTTTGTGACAAAAATTTTCGTCATGTTTTCACCTTGCGCGCACAGTTTAAAATTATCTGTTGCATTATTTAATTCCATAGTTTATATATAGCTTTTATAACATTTGGAAACTACTGTAAACCAAAAAAAACTGAGAATTTCATGTTAAATTTTAATTTTATTGAGTTGAGTTTTTGTAAAATGTATTTTATTAAAAAAATCTGTAATGTTTTCGTGCATAAAATTTTTTAATATTAAAATATTCATCAGATTCTTGGTTCAGTTAGAAAATAGTGCTCATATAAAGAATTCCATCCAATTTCAAGTATGTACCATTAACCATTTTTAAAATATCATGCGCGCAAGGTGGAAAAGTGACGAAAACGTTTGTGACAAAGCTGATTAAATTACAAAAATATTTGTGGCGACAAACACTTTCTGGTTACTAGTTTCCAAAGCAGCTGTATTATGTAGTCAGCTGTAAAAGGTTGGAGGTAATTACTTTTCAAATAAATAAAATATCTCAATTCTTGCAACAGTCACATAATTCGAAGCTCATAAGGGGTTTAAGGTGTATGAGCCCCCTTAATGCTAGGTGGCAAAAATCCATTAATTTTTTGGTGCTTTCGACAATAAATTTTGAATGTGTTTCTTTCTCAATACTTTTTCACCAATCATAAAAGGCCTCTAATGAAGAAAATTCTGATTGTTCTTCATCTATTCTTGTATCATGATCACGTTCAAAATATAAAATAACATTTTGCTTATCAAAATATGAATTACACAGTAAACATTTATGGGATTGATGTTTCTGCCGTTGATTAGCTTTTAACCCTTTGAGGGGCGGTATATAAAATAATTTAGATTGTGGTAAAATTTTGAATAAATTGTAACTTATAGACCCCTAGGACACAAAATTGAGACTTAAAATAAATCTAGAGTGAAATTCTGAATTTGGGTGCCCGGATATATTTTATACCGGTACCCCTCTACGACATTTTTATCCCAGGTTACTGCGAATTCTTAGTTTTTTTTATCTATTTTTGCGAGCTTTTCATCTGCATCTATAGAAATGGGTGCTTGAGTACAGTTATGTACTTAACTGTACTCAGTACAGTACAGAAGTGATTTAAATTCAATATTATTATTTTATGAAAAATTTTAGCAAATATGCATGCATAAGTCGTATCGTGTTGTAATTGAGCTAGTATAATGTTACAAGAAGATGTTACTCAGGCGAAAAATTTAAAATAAATTAGAAATGAAACACTACTACACAGCTGAAAAATTATGTTGCATTTTTGAATTATTTTATGCTTTAGATTGTAGGGTTTATATTTATTTTAACTAACATTTATTTTAAGTTTAAAACTATCTTTCCTGTCAAGCCTTACTTTCCCCTGGAATTGCCAATGCCAGAGTATGTAAATTTTAGTAGAACGCGCAAAGTATTCAAAATAGTCAGCGGAAGTATTCTGAGTTAAGTAGAAGGGAAACGAGTTCGAAAGTGTGCTTTCTTGCTTCACGAGCGTGGAGGTGGCTAGGTAGAAATTGAAGAACCACGCGTTTCGGATTGATTGCGCGTTTCGGAAGGGCCACCGGATTATATACCGGTGGCACCGGATTATATACCGGTATATAATCCGGTGGCCCTTCAAATTGGCATATTATATACCGGATAACAATCGCATTATTCCGGCTTCCTTATGTTCAATAGGGTTAAACATAGATTGCAGAACTCTAATTTGAACTTTACGAAATCGCATTACTTTCGGCGCTTATGTCCTGCAATTTGGCGTCGTCGAAGATCGTCATATAATTTGAAGCTTCCGAAAGCAGCGCTTTCGCTTTCTTCACATCCGATGGGAGGAGGGTAGGAAGTAAGATGGAGTCCCTAAACAAGTTCCTCTCTCCGTACCCTGCTCTGAAGCAGCACCGGCGATCCCTACGTGGTGACCAAAAACATTGGGTCATTTACCATTGAGTTCTATGGGATTTGACGCGTTCGGGTGTAAATATTTTCTAATTACGTCGCAAATATACATATAAATGTATATATTTTCTTTTTTCTAACACACTTCAGAGTCCCGATGTGGTACCTAGTATGTGAAACACAACATATTTTTAAACAACATTTCATTCTGAACGGAATTAAATGCTATACTTTTCACAGGACAGTTTTTTCAGCTCTCAGAATGGTTTAATTTGAATGAAATATTTCACAAGTTTTCGTTAATTACATTAGGAAAAAAATTAAGGTAATTCGATTTTATTCGGTTAAGGTACAAAAATTAAGATCAAAGTTTACTGTATTATTAATATTAAAATGATGCATTATTTCTTTTCTATTTATACAGCTTCTTCCTAAAATACTTTCTTAAATATGACATGGTTTTTTGGCTTCTTTTAAATCGAAAAAAATGTAAGTCAATTTTATAATTAATGCTCTATTCGGTTAATTTTAAATTAGAGAAATATTAGGAATTGGAAGCGTAGCGAAATACTTTAAATAAGTATTTCGCTAATTCCTCCGAATAATTAAATAGGTATTAAATAGTATTTGACTTTCTCTGAACATTTCTGAAAGGGAATAAAATAAGTATTTTTTTTTTTAAGTATTATTTAAAAAACTTGTAACTGACTTATTATAAAATGTAAAGGGAATAATTCTTTTAATTATACTTATCAGATTTTTTTTTTACCCTTCATTTCAACAATACATATTCCAAAACTCTTTATTACGTTCTTAAGTGCGCATCTCATAGCATTTCCTTTACAATACCTTTTAGCAGATTGCTTTCCAATACGAACAATTCTTGCTTAAATAGTTTTATAACGTATTTGTCAACAGGATTTCAATTTATGTTTACAATTCAATATTAAGGGTATTATATATATTTAGATAACATTTATAATCATTATAAATTAGATACATTTAATCATTAGATTTCTTCACAGTACTTTCACAGTTGTTTATATGTGAATAAATTCTTCATTTCAAATACATTTATAAATAATTTAATGAATATTTAAGTATTTTGTCAAAGGCAGATACATGCTTTTTGCAAGCACATGCATAAATACCCATACATATTTCCTATTTATCGTTTCCGGCATGTGCAAATCTTTAATTTCTGTGCATTCACTATATTTTTCGTGTAAAGTAATTTACACTAATTTAGCATAAACCCGAAAGTTTTATATAAAAAATATATATGAATATAATTTGAATCAAAATTATAAGTATTATATTTAATACCCACTCAAAGGTCAGTTTTTCTTCAAAATTCCTCCGCGATGGCATCTCTCTCTTTATGCAGATAGCCCTTGCATGCGTTACTCTATTTAATAAAAACTTAATCTGACCTATGTGCCTAATTACAAATATTTTAACATACAAAATTTTATATTTACATTTAGCCATCAAGTTTCAAACTTTTCAAATCTTCTAGAAAATAAATTTTGGCAGATCTCTTTTAGCAATTTTCTTAAAATCTATATTTTTGTAGTGCAACTGCTTAGAATTTTATAAAACAAATTCATAATCAAAATCGCTCTTGTTAGTTATCGAAAAATAACCAAGATGTGATTTTTGCGTAAATGTCAGTAAACTATACAAATTGCTATTATCCATCACACTATGAATGTTTCTTTCATGCGAGAGTGTCCCTTTTTCGATTTCTATGGAATTGTCGTGTGTCGAAATACTATCAGAATCTTGTCAAGCGAGCTTCTGAATGTAAACAAAGAACACCACGTCTGGTGACCCCATAGACCTGTCATTACAGCTCTATGGGCGACCCAAGCTTTAAAGCAGTGCTTCACTTCTAGCGCGGAATGGCCCCTCCTCCCTTTCCTACCTCCATGGATGGGAGCATCTGGGGAGGAAAGGGGAGCGTCGTTCCACTGGTTTCAGTGGCGGGAAAGTAGTACTGCTGTTTCGCCCAATATTGCGGGATGAAGATTTGCCATGTGTCTCCTTCAATTACAGAATGTAGCGTATCCTTTTACACAATCTACACAAGAAAAACTTTCCAACGGTTTATTTTCCCTATCAGGAATCCGTTTTATTATTTCAGAAAACATGATAAAATTTTCGCGAGATAGCAATTCACCAGCTACGAAATATGAACAACGCTATGAACTAAAATTCAAAATCAATTTTCCCAGGCAAGGAAAAAAAACCGGTTATGATGAAAAGTGATTCATGGGAGACGCTTGTCTTTTGTTGCTCACTTGCAATACTGCGCCGGTGGGTTTGAATGGCTTTAACGCCAACAACATTTTGAAGCAAAGAAACAACAGTTTGTGTTCCATATTAATACGGACTTTTCATTCTGTGTAGCAAAGATACTGTGTGAAATCTATTCAGCCAGTTAACTCAAGTAATTTGAAATCGGTAAGTGTGAAAGTTCTCTAGAAAATCAGAAGTACATGTCATCATCATTTAGCATAGCATATATGATAATGTTGTATAAATTCATGTTTATACTCGGACAAAAAGAATCATATTTGTTCGCTATGTAATAGTACTTTTTATGAAACGGTCCTGGAAACTCTGCCAGTGTTTTATATCATGAAGGAGATAAGCTTCACCTACAGTTTTCATTAATAATTTTAGGCAAATAATCAGCTGTATATTTGCGAAGACACGGAGAGCCAGTGCGAAGCATCCAAGAACTACTTTGGTAAAAATTTTGTTTACTAAGTCATTTTTCATGTATACAAAACACGGCCGTAAGTTTGAGATATACACGAAGTTGTGATATCAAGGCCATCAGGAAGTTGTGATATCAGGTACTTAACTACATAGGGGACTACCTGTGTGTCTAGAAAGTATGCAACAAGTTATTTAGAAAAAGAAACATTTTAAAAGTGTGCTCAAAAACCACACAATAGAGAAACCTGTGTCTGCTGTTTCTGAAAAATTCTTTAGACTAAAACAATTTAAACATGCATATGCTTAATCACACAGTAGAGAAACCTCATATATGTAATGTATGTAACAAGTCATTTACACATAAATGTTATTTAAGCAAGCATATGCTTATTCACACAGAAGAAAAACCTCATATATGTAATGTATGTAGCAAGTCATTTACACAAAAATGTTATTTAAGCAAGCATATGCGTATTCACGCAGAAGAGAAACCTTATGTGTGTGAGGTATGTAGCAATTCATTCAAAGTAAAGGACGATTTAAAAAAGCATATGCTTATTCACACAGGAGAGAAACTTCATGTGTGTGAGGTATGTAACAGATCATTTGCACGTATGAGTAATTTAAAGAAGCATATATTTATTCACACAGGACACAAACCTCATATGTGTCAGGTATGTAATACCTCATTTAGAAGTAAAAGCCACTTAAACAATCATATGCTTATTCACACAGGAGAGAAGCCTCATGTGTGTGAGATATGTAACAAATCATTTAGAGTTAACTATGTTTTAAAGGGGCATATGCGTATTCACACAGGTGAGAAACCTTATATATGTGAGGTATGTAACAAGTCATTCACGCTAAAAGGTGATTTAGACAGGCATAGACATATTCATACAGAAGTGAAACGTTATGTATGCGAGATATGTACCAAATCATTTAGACAAAAATGTGATTTAAATAAGCATGTGAGTATCCACACAGGAGAGAAACCTCATGTGTGTGAGGTATGCAGCAGGTCATTTAGACTAAAGAGAATTTTAAATCGGCATATGCTTATTCATACAGCTGAGAAACCTCATGTCTGTGAGGTATGTAACAAGACATTCAGAATAAAGGGCAATTTAAAGTTGCACCTACTTGTTCATACAGGAGAGAAACCTTACTTGTGTGAGCTATGTAACATTTCATTCAGATTAAAAGGTGACTTAAACAGTCATATGCTTATTCACAGAGGAGTAAAACCTCATTTGTGTGAGTTATGTAGGAAGTTATTTAGAAGAAAGGATCACTTACACAAGCATATGCTAATTCATGCAGGAGAGAAATCTCATGCATGTGAGGTATGCAAGAAGTCATTTAGAGAAAAGCATATTTTAAAGAGTCATATGTCTATTCATACAGGTGAGAAACACCATGCATGTGAATTATGCGACAAGTCATTTAGAGAAAAGAATTATTTAAAGAATCATATGCTTATTCACACAGGAGAGAAACCTTATATGTGTGATGTATGTAGCAAGTCATTTAGACAAAAAGGTCAGTTAAACAGGCATGTGTTTGCACATACAACAGAGAAGCCTCACCTGTGCGAGGTGTGTAACAAGTCATTTAAAGAAAAGTTTGTTTTAAAGATTCATATGCGTATTCATACAGGTGAAAAACTCCATGTGTGTGAACTATGCAACAGGTCATTTAGAGAAAAAAATTATTTAAAGAATCATATGCTTATTCACACAGGAGAAAAACCTTATATGTGTGACATATGTAGGAAGTCATTTAGACAAAAAGGTCAATTAAACAAGCATGTGCTTGTCCATACAAGAAAATGCAAAGAGAATTGAAGCAATTATGGAATGAACCCAGTAACCCTGCTAACAATGGTGATAATAGTTCTAACATGGTTTTGCATGTCCGGAGGTAACAAACATTCCTCTTGTTTTTTGATTCCTTATATAGCTGTTTGTAATTCTGCATGTTGTAGCATCACACTGATTGTTTGGCTTTGCATGTGTAATTTATTCTTTACCTATTCATTTATTTTGTAAATTTTTCCAATTTCCACACTTTGTTTTCTGAATTTTTTTAATAATGAATAGATGGAATAATTTTCGTTCAGTTAAGGAAGTTGTCTGCATCTCAGAAAGATTATTGCCTTCATCAAAAACATGTTCTCAGAAAACAACAGATCCGTAGAGATTCTGATGGTGCTAATTAAAAAGCATGTGGCATAAGAAACAACTTTTAACCTTGATGAATGGCGGACATATTCATTCTTAGGCAGGGATGGGTGCATCGGACTGTTAATCACTCCACAGGTTTTGTTAATCTGTCATCTGGTGCAAAGAATCGAACAATCTGGTGGAAAGAATCCAGTCCAAAGAATCGAACGTGTAGTCAAAGTAAAATTACACACACAAAAAGTTGATCTGTATAATGGCAAGATTTATTCACCCTAATTTTAAACACTGTTAAAGATTTTATCCTTTTAGGGTAATACGTTTCCGGTAGTTTAAGTAACTGCATAGTCTTTTTATTATTCAATTTTTTTAAAAGTCTTTTAAATAATAAATAATGTAGAAATAATAAAATTAAAAATATGAAATCGTGATTTATAAAATAATGAAGCATGTATGATCTAAAAGGTATAAAATTTTACAAAAAAAAGCTTAATATTTATTATTATTATTTTTTTTTACTTTATTAAACATTTCCTTTAAGTTGTTTAAGTTGGTTCGTTTTTTGTGCTAATACTTTCTCTTTAATTCTGTAGACAGACAATTTCTTATTCAGTTACAAAATTCCATTGTTAAAGTCCTGTAATTGCTGTGTCTAGAATTCCATGAAACTTGACAATTGCAGTTTTTTATTCTCTCTGTGGGGAAAGTGCAGAATCATCCACTACTTGGCACGTTTTTAAGAATTGCACATACTCGGTATCCATGTACACATTGACCTATTTTCACTTAAAATAAATCATCCCAGAATTGCACAAAAATGGCATTGCACACTCCCTTGACTTTATCCATGTACATATCGATCTATTTTCACTTAAAATGTCAAAGAAAATTGACAAAAATCCAATTCTTCTTACTCTTGTAAAAAGCACCAAACAAATAAGTGTGCAATTCAGTACATTGCCCCTCTCTGTCACGCTGTCTGTAGCAGTACTTTCTGGATTTACAATCATGTTATGGATTTTACCATCCGTTAATTCATTGATGATTGAGGAGCATTGTCATCACAGTGCAAAATTTCTTTTATATCCTCTTCATTTATTACCGCTTCACATTTCTTTACAAAAGTCGCTAATTGGAAAATTTCACCTTTGGTTTGCGATATCGTAAAACCTTCAGATTTGCGGCTATAATCATAAAATTTACTCGTTGTGCACTACATATTTGACTATGTATCATGAGATTGGCGACTAAAGACAAGTTGTTCCGCTAAATTTTATCTTTCTTCTATCGTGCAGTGAGACAATTAAGCCTGAATTTAATTATTTATTATACATATGCCTATTTTTTGCACGTGCTTGCCTGAGCTCTGAATAAATAAATTCCCACATATATTTAAGGCAAAGACCAATGCATATTCTTTGCTTAAGGCTTATTGAAGATCGACATCTCTGTGGTCTGTGATGCAGTCTCTGTGGGTCCTACATTCTGCTACCAAGCTCCTCTCATTGTCTTCCCTAAATTCTGTCGCCCAATACGGACAAACAACAACATAACAAATCAGTTATTCTTAATTCAAATAACACTAAATCTTTTGGCTTATGAGTATCATTAATAAAATCTATTTTTGGCATATGGAAAGAAATTTTTGTTAAATTTTCCTGGTCAACATTTCTTAGCGCATTTAACTTAAGTCTGTAATCATCACCAAGCATAATGTCAACATAAAAGGCTACCATGCTGTTTCTCAAATACTGATATGAAAAAAATTGGTGAGGTGTTCCTCCATGAGTCATTACTCAAGTTGTCATGTGTTGATAAACATGCGGTGATAAAAGTAAAATATAATAATGATTAGCCAGGTTTGCATCAGGGGTATAAAATATTAGTAAGTGTAAAATCAACAATGTATCTGTTGAATGTGTCGCTTTGAGATGTATGACCGGAGCTACAGAGACTAATTATTGATCATACAAATTTATGCTAAAATGATTCTTCAATAGCGAGGTATTTTATTTAGTGCGAAGTGAAATTAAGAATCGGGACTCTCCACATATTTTATTATGCGCAGAAAGGGGGTGATCAATTGCGCATGCGTTACAGTACACACACACACACACACACACAAAATATTTTAAAATAAAAAAAAGAGGGTTAATCTTTGGATTATGGTAACTTGGCGATTTTTTGGTGAAAATTTGGCGACCAACCTAGTTTTTGTTTGGACGCCATTTTGTTTTCACAAAGTAAAGGCATTTTTTTTTTTTTAACTCAACATTTTTTTTCCAACAATCTGCTAGCCGAATTACGCTTATGCTAGAACTTTTATGGAACAAAAGTGCTTAATCGTGACGAAGATTAGGTGTGAAACTGGAAGAAAGTGCAGAATCACAAACTGCTTGCCGAGTTTTTAAGAATTGCACATACACGGTATCCATGTACACGTCAACCTATTTTCACTTAAAAAAAATCCCAGAATTGCACAAAAATGGCATTGCGCACGCTCTTGACTTTATCCATGTACACTGCTAAAGTCCTAGCTAGTAACCTTTATCGCCTTACCAAAATGTCGCCAAACTACCTGTTACCATATTCCAAAGATTAGCCAAAAAGAGTTAGTAGTGGCCTTTGAGGTCCGGATTTTAGATCATTCCGGATGTTGGACGTCCAAATCTGAGACTTTATTCATTTTTGTGAAAATATAAAGAAACTTTTGCTCATGTTTTGGCTAATGGTTCAGATTTTTTATTGATATACCCAATTTTTAATCCACAAAAATCCTTTATGTAAAAAAATCAGTGAAATATGCTTGATATAGAAAAAGAGCTGCTTGTTTAATATTTTATACTAACTTTAAAAAACTGATTGTAGTTTTATTGCATTTTAAATAATAATATTTGAATATAAATGTTAGCAATTAATTAGTTCTTTTATTAAAAACACATTCCGTCAAACATTACCATTCAGACATTAATTGTTAGATACTTGCTTTATTCAGAAACATAACTGTCAACATTACTGCTCAAAAACATTACAGTTCAAATTATTACCGTTCTAAAAAAAAAAAACTGTTGTTGCCAATCAAGAAAATACATTTTAAATAAAATTAATACGTTGCGTTTACATTCGGGCATCCTGACTTAGTTTCGACCTCGGAACATTAAGAACTTATATTTAAAAAAATTAAATCTGTTATATTAATATTTATACAGTCAAAAGTCGTTAATTTGGACACCCATAATCTGGACCTCAAAGCTAAAAACTTTCTGCGCATGCGCCGCGTTGACACATGCGCATAGGCATTTACGCGTGCGCTTAAGACCTTTACAACTGCGCATATGTGTATACGCAAGCGCAGAATACGTTTTCGCTTGCGCATTTTATGTATAACGAATGGTATAAGCTAAAATTATCTATTTCAGTTAATGTTGATGATTGCGTTGTTCCTTAATCTTCGAATTGGATCCTTCGAATCGGCTTATTATTTTTTGCAGACTGTAAGAGCAATTTTATAAAAGTAAACTTGAACTTTCGATTATGTCAAATAGAATTTCCGATGCTGGAGCTCCCAAAGGATCTACAAAACGAAAGTATGTTTCGATGTCCATCAAACAAAAAGTGGAATTGCTGCAAAAAATGGATAAAGACATGAAGAATGTGACAGAGAGTTTGTGAAAACGAAAAAATTTCGATTGACGAGTTAGTCGGTATTCTCGGCACATCAATTATAGGACTTGAACAGCGGAACTTTGTAACTGATCAAGAAATTATGTCTGTTTAGAGAATTAAAGAGAAAGTATTATCACATAAAACAAAGCAACTTAAACAACTTACATTGAAAGAAATGTTTAATAAAGTAAACAAATAAATATTGAGCTTTTTTTTTTTAATTTTTGATACCCTTTAGATCATAATTGTTCTTTATTTCATAAATTACTGTTTCATATTTTTAATTTTAGAATTTCTGCAAGCCATCTTACAAGATTTAAACTGATGATCTATAATCCGGAATCGTCGAAGTCCCAACGAGTCCGGATTAACGACTTTTGACTGTAGTTCGAATGTCTTTAGCTGTCATTATAGATTCACCATCGTTTTCTATTCTTTTTCCGTGTCCTAGTTTTAGTAATATATGGTGTGTTGTTATCGTTATCCCCAGTAACACTAATATCATCACCATCATCATCATCATCGTCTTCTTCTGATTCAGCTTGACACTACCATGACTTTAATTGGCTGACATGAGCTGTCGTACTAAAAAAATGTCCTTTCACCTTTTCTTCTAATTGAGTCACTGTATAGGTATCACTTGGTAAAACTTCTGTAACTACTAAAGGTCTTCAATACTTTTGTTGTGTTTTGGTTGATTCTCCAGTTGATTTAGGTACTCTTCTCATAATTACTATTTCTCCTCGTTCGAATGTTAAAGAATTGCTTTTCTTCTTGTCATAATTTGCTTTCATTTTCATCTGCATATCTTCACTTCTCTTCTTTAACTTCTTCCTTTTTAGATACTCTCTTTTACTGATAATTGCTTTCTTAGGAGGTCTGTCTATTCCCTCATTTATCTTAGATTGCTTTTCTTTTTGTAAACTTTTTCCTTTCCCTGTATTAAACTCTTTCTCAAGTGTTGTAATTTTACAATTCTTACTATATTTCTTAAGCTTTTGATTATAATGCTTTTCCTGAATAGACTTACATTCTTTAATATCATTGATATCATCACTTCTAGTTTCTTCTTTGGGATATTTATTTTCTTCACTTGTATTCTGTTTAACGATTTTCTTTGAAGTACCTTTCGTTTTCAGTGATTTTTTACCTTTGCATTTAGTGACTTTTACAGTATTTGTATTTTCAAACTTTCCATCATAGTCCAGAGTTGCTGCCTT